ACCTGATGTGGCTCTTACTGTGCTGCCAGCAGTACAAGCTGCTCATTCAGCCCCAGGGTAGAGGAACAGGAAGCTCCGCTGGGAGAGGAAGCTGGGTCAAGCTACAGACTTCAAGGTCTGACTCCTGCCTCAGGAACCCACTTCCTATAGATAGGCCCCATCCCATTAGACAGTGTTTCCCTCCGAGGACCAAGTATTTGAACCCAGGAACCTGTGGGGGCACTTAACATCCAGGCTGTAACAGATGGCACACTCTAACTCCCTGATGGGGACAGACGCTCCAGTGTACAGGACCCCTCAGGACCCTGTCCTGTTTACCTTTTTATCTGGATGGATGGGTTTCTTTTATAACATTCTTTGTCATAAAGCTGTATAGAAAAGGAACATTTGGGTTCAGAAATATCAATATTTGTCTGCCGCATAAGCCCATTTATATTAATGTTAAGCTCAAAGGCAGGCCTTTGAATGCTGGGTTCCTTACTGTTGTGTATATGAAACAGAAGAAGCGGGAGATGATGGAAGAGGAGCAGGTCAGGGGTAGGGATTAAATATCCATTTTCCATCCTGTTTATAAGTGGATAGTGTTGTGTATATGGGTATCATTATCATATTTATTATTAATCAAAATCACATCTATTATACATGGCGAAGTCCTATTGTATGATTTCTGTCCTGCAGAGGGTGCAGGAGAATGGTGACGATGTTATTTCTTCTTTGGCATAGTCTATTTAAAAAAAAATTTTTTTTTTTGACTGATTGGTCTTTTTGAAACATAGTACTACATACCCAAATTTATGGGACACTATGAAAGCAGTGCTGAGGAAAATTCATAGCACTAAATGCCCACATAAAAAATTTTTTTTGAAACAGGGTTTTATTATGTAGCCCTGGCTGTCCTGGAATTCTCTCTAAAGCCTAGGCTGGCCTTGAACTTACAGAGATCTCCCAGGGTATGCCTCTTGAGTGCTTGAACTGAAGGCACGTGCCACCATGGCTGGCTCTTCCTCCCCCTCCGCTTTTTCTTTATTTGTGGAGCGTCTCTTTCCTTGGAGTCCCTTTCTACTGTCTTTAGACTTTGAACATGACACTATATGTTTGTTAAAGAGAGTTGCAGTGGATAGCAGTTAACATATGTTGACTGTAGCTGAAACAAAGCTGAAAGAAAGTTCATGGTTTTTTTTTTAAGGAATTTTTTTTTCATTTTACATACCAGTCACAGATCCCCCTCTCCTCCCTCCTCCCACACTTCCCGCCTTCCCCTCCCCAACCCATCTCCCATTTCCTCCTCCAACAAGGCAAGGTCTCCCATGGGGAGTCCGCAGAGCCTGGTATATTCAGTTGAGGCAGGTCCAAGCCGCTCCCCCTGCACCAAGGCTGTGCAAGGTGTCCTACCATTGGTAATAGGCTCTAAAAAGTATGCACCAGAGATGGATCCTGATCCTACTGCCAGGGGCCCCTTAAACAGATCAAGCTACACAACTGTCTTGCTTATGCCGAGGGCCTAGTCCAGTCCCATGGAGACTCCCCAACTGTTGGTCTATAGTTTGTGAGTTCCCACTAGTTTGGTTTGGTTGACTCTGTAGGTTTCCTCTCATGATCTTGATGCCCGTGCTCATAGAATCCCTCTTGAGTTTTAACTTCCAGTCCCATAGCAGAGTTTAATTAGAGAAGGAGAGCCTCTCTGGTGATAGAGAATGAGGAATTTATTGTGGACAGAAGCTCTTACAATGCCATAGGAGCTGCTTACGTCATCTGTGGTGTTGGCCTCTCTGAATGGTGCTGAGACTAAAGTCAGTAGAACCAACAGATGGCCATGAAGTACGGCGAAGGGAGTAAGGATATATGGGAACTGGTAAGAATAATCTAGAACCGGTCTGGCTTGGGTTAAGCCATTCAGTCTTCTTTCCCTCTCTGTCCTCACAGTTGATGTAAATGAAGTGACAGGCATCCTGCTGTGGTGTCTGTGAGTCTGTGACTTTTTTTTTTGCTTGCCCAAAGGAAGTTTGTCAAGCATCCAAAGCTAGCAGAGGCTACAAGTGGCACATCTCATAGGATGGACACACATTAACTAGAGGTCCTGATGCCTGGGAAAAAGATACAACCTGATTGTAGGTACATACTACGGTTACTGGTCCTCTACATGGGCTCTCCCTGGTTGTTCTGAAACCTGTAAGAGAACACCTGCACTTGGCCTCATGGGTCTGAACTCTCCTCGGGCCCCCACTGTGCTGCTCTACGCTTGTTCACGTTGGGAAGACAATAGTGTCCATCGCTTTCCTTATTCACAAAAGGGTCGTGTTAAATGACAAGGACAGAATGCAGAGAGAGGACAGTCAGAACAGAGGATATAATTTATTTTCTTCTGTGTGTTGCTGTAGCAAGAACCATTTTTGCATTCCAAAAGAATCCAACAGGCTTGCTCGTTAAAGCTGGACTTCCTTCTAATTTCCGATGACCATTAGTGTGACAAGGACTAGACATGAGCAGTCACTAAATACACTTTTAATCCAAAATTTTTATTTTTATATAGTTATTTAAAAATTATGCCCTTTATTTTTTGATATTAGAATATAGTGACACAGTTTCTCCCTTCCTTTCCTCCCTCCAAGCCCTCCCATGTACCCCTCCTTACTCCCTTCCAAATTCATGGCCTCTTTTATCATTAATTGCTGTTACATATGTGTATGTGTACATAATCCTGAACACACAAATACAACCTCCTCAGTCTGTATAGTGCTACCTGTATGTATGTTTTCAGAGCTGACCATTTAGTATCAGGCAAATTTGGCAAATTTTTCTTTTCTTTTCTTTCTCTCTTTCTTTTTTTTTCTTTTTTTGAGAGGGGGTTTCTCTTTGTAGCTCTGGCTGAAATAATTTTTCTTTTTTCTTTTAAAAGTATATCAAATCATTCTACATAGTGTTATTTAAATTATATTTATTTCTCTAAAGGATTCTTTTTTGTTTGCTTGTTTTTTGTTTTTATGCACTCCATAGACCAGATTGGCCTTGAACTCAGAGATCCACCTGCCTCTGCCTCCTGAGTGCTGAGATTAAAAGCATATGCCTAAAGGATTTTTGTTGTTGCTTTTGAGATGTTATGTAGCATAGCCCACACTGTCCTTGAATTTGCTGTATAGCTGAGGCTGGTCTCGAGCCTCTGATTTTCTACCTCTACTTCTCATGTACTAGAATTATAGACATTTGTCTCCTCAGCTCCTCAAAGTATCCAAGGACTTCTCATCCAAACACTATGAACACACTAAAGGACGAAAGTCAGGCTGTAAACTAAAGAGTGGGATGGGAAATTACTTTCCTGAAAGCTAGTTTAAGCTCAAAACTTAGTTCTGAGCTTCTTTTGTATAAGAAATATTTCACAGGCTCATTATTTTCCCGGAAGGAGATGCATAGGTAACACAGGTTGTATACTCATACTATTTAAAAGTATTAGCTTACAAACAAGTAGGCTTCACTACAGTGTTTTCCAAAGGTATTGTTGCTTTGTTCTGTTCTCTCCCTGCCCCCTTCGCCCCCTCTCTCTGTGCTTGTCCATCCCCAGCAGCCTGTATTCCCCTCTCATGTCACAGTGCCCCCTGCCCCCTTTCAGTACTCCCTTCCCTCTTTCATGACCCCCTACACACTTTCACAGCCTGTCCCCAATCTCACAACCTTTATTTACACACATACAAACCCTGCAGTTAGGATTTACATATGGGAGACAATATATGATCTTAGTATTTCAAAGACTTCACTTACATATTCTTTTTAGTTCCTTCCATTTTCCTGAATATTTCTTTTTTCTTAATAGCAAAATTCCACTGTGTATATATGCCACATTTTCACTATCCATTCTTCTGTTGATGGACAACTAGGCTGGTTCCGTTTCCCTGATGTTGTGAATAGAGCAGCAGTACACACAGATGTGCAAGTATCCCTATGGCAGGATAAAGAGATCTTTGGGTACATGCCCAGGAGGTATAGCTGACCTCCCCATACTATTTAAAAATGAATATAATATCTCTAGCACGAAAGATATATTAAAAGTAATATACAGTAAAATGTTACTCTAGTTTTATTTCCGTGGCTGTGATAAAATACCTTGATAAAAAAGCAGCTTATTTTATTTTTTGATTAATATGGATATTAATATGGGATTTATTTCAACTCATAGTTCTAGGTTATAGCCCCATCCTATCAGGGAAGTCAAAATAGCAGGTGTTTCAAGCAGTTAGTTACATCCATAGTTAGTTAGGGCAGAGAAAAATGAGTGCATGCATGTTTACTTTGTGCTCAACCTCCTCTCCACACATCCAGTGTAGGATTCCCTGTCTATTGGATGGAACTACCCACAGTGGGCTGTGTTTTCCCTTATCAATTAATATAATCAAGACAACCCTCACAAGCAGGCCCACAGGCAAATCTAATCTACTGAATCCCTCATTGAGACTTTTTCCAAGTGAGTCCACATTGTGTCATCAAGCCGACAATTAAGACTTAACCAGCAAAAACACTGTATTTCAATGTGTGTGTTTCTGTGGTGGATTGTAAGAAAATGACCCTCAAAGGGAGTGGCACTATTAGGAGGTGTGACTTTGTTGGAGTAGGTATGGCCTTGTTGGAGGAAGTGCGTCACTGTGGGGCAGTCTTTGAGGTCTCCTATGCTCATGATACTGCCCCGTGTGACAGTCTACTACTTCCTTTTGCCTGCAAGCCAAGATGTAGGACACTCAGTCACTTCCCCAGCACCATGGCTGCCTGCATGCCACCATATCACACCATGATGATGATGTACTGAACCTCTGAAAATGTAAGTCACCACTCCAATTAAATGTTTTCCTTTATAAGAGTTGCTGTGATCATGGTGTCTATTCACAGCAAAAGAAACCCTAACTAAGACAGTGTCCAAGTATGACTACTAGGACCTTAATGATGCTATTACAAGCTTATATCTGTATAATAATCATTATGAATGCAGCATATACAAAAGCAGCCTGGCTCAAGTGTATGGATTACAGCTTTTTTATTCTAAGCTGCAAAGCAGCCTTTTTTGGTTTTGGATTTTACATGGACATCAGATGAAATGTTTAAAAATGGTGACTGTGGAACAACTCTTTTTCCTTTCAAGTGATCTATCATGTCTGACCTCTGTCCATATTACATGCCAACGGCTCCTCTTGCCTCTCCATAGCAACAACCACTGTGGGAATGTGCTTGGCACCATCTAAACCAATCACCTGCCTTTCCCATGACCTACCAATGTACTCTGAGTTATATACACATCAGAGATGAATACATATTAGCAAAAAAATTAAAAGTCTTGTACAGAATGCTTGCACTAGCATATTCTTCCTAATGCCAGAAATGGAAACAACTCAAACGCTCCTCAACAGGAATGGATAAATAGCTTGTCCTTTATGCACACAGAATTATGCAAGTCAAAATGAACAAATAGCTACCACAGAAAGCATAAATGACTGTTACAAAAAATGTGATAGAGACAGACAAAATATGTATTACATGTTTTCAAAAGTTCAAATACTGTCAAAGCTAATATATAGTTTAAGGTGGGATAATGATCTCAGGGGAAGGAAGAACACTTCTGTGGTACTGACAGCCTTGTTTCTTGACCTGCGTGGGGTTGACATGTGCAGACTTTGCAGGAGGGAGGACACCAAGGTCATCCCGAGGTTTGTCCTATTCCCTCCTCTATAGGGAAGGGGAAAAGAGGGAGTGGGGAGTAAACGCCTAAACTCTGCCCTCCTTCTCCAGCCCTCCATTTGCTAGAGAGGAGCCCGGAAACAAAACAAAGCCAAGAATAAATTTCAGCTGGGCTCAAATCCTCAATCAGGATAGAGTCTAATCTACATCGCTGTTAGCAAAACGCACCCTCGCCCTCCTCACCCCTACCCCACCACCATTCGCTCTGGATGATTGCGACATGGACCACCTTGAAGGCCAAGTCTTTTCCCAGCCCTGGACAAGTGGGAAGGAACAATTTTTCTTTTAATTACTTTCTAACGTCTCTGCCTGAGTTCTCCAGCAGCCTAGAGATCCGATTCTCTTAGGGGGCGGAACCTCGATGCCTTAGCAACCAAGCGAGTCTTTGTCGCGTCATAGCAACGCTTTCAGCCCTCCCCTTCCCAATGCCTTCTTGGTTCAGCGACCCTCTAAGCCCTCCGTCTGCCCGAGGTCCTCGCTGTTTGGATGGGCGTGGATTTGCAGTTCTAGCTTAGCGAGGGACAGCGCTCTGGCTTCGTGTTGGGGGAACAGGTTATCCGCGGGCCAGATCACCGGGGGAGGGACGGCGATAAAGAACGTTTATTTAAGGAAAAATAATATCAAAACATATCAAGACTTTTACAGCAAATTTTCGATTTCAAAGTACACCCTAAATTCAGGGCAAAGAGGGCTGGAGGGTGGGAAAATCCTTTTTAGCGCAAACTCCATATAACAAAGCAGAGACTATCCATCAAGGACCCACCACGGAGTCAATCGGAACGGAAGATGCTGGACAGGATTGCGCCGGGTTTTCAGGACCTGTGCAGGCAGGTGCTGCCCACACTGCCTTCGCTGAGCCAGGAGGGTAAGCGACTTCATGTGGTGTCTGGGGCTGTACCTTACTGTGCTTCAAGGCATGACTCAGAGCTTATTTCGCTGTTGCCAGACTTGAACCTGCGCAGGCGTTTTTTTCTTCCGCATGGCCTGATTAGCACTAAGTATTGAGAACAAGCTCCCCCACCTAACCTAGGGTGGATGAAAACCCTTATGGCTACCTACAGAAAAGCGTTCCCAACTCGAGTCCCAAATGGCTCATTTTCAGAGTTTACTTTGGAAAGGGCACCGATATTTGTAGTCCTTGACGTCTTACGGGTATGTTAGTGGAAAGTGATGTTTCTTGACAGACAATTTTCATAGAAAACTCAGAGGGCAGTAGCAAGACGCAGTCCGTTTTAAGTATAGTAAGCTTTAGAATAAGGTTGTCGATGTGTAAAAAATGGCTTGCTGGGAAGCTGAGACTGTATCGAATCTATAGAAACCTAACATCTTGACAATGCTGAACCTTCTCATCCACAAAATGTTCTAATACGTAGTTCTTCGATTTCTTTCATCAGTTTTGTAAATATTTTCTCATAGATTTTATGTTCTTTTTAAAATCTATACCTATTTCATTTTTTAATGAATTCTAATGTTATACTGTGCTTACTTTTAAAATTCTCTTTATTCATTGCAACTATATAGACAATTCACTTTTAACTATTAACCTTGATAATTATGATTAATTGTGAAATGGCCCCCATGGACTTACATGTTTGAACACCCAGATCCAGCTGGTGGCACTGTTTGGGGCATTGTGCGACCTAGTCAGCAAAGATTGGTCCCTGGAGCATTCTTTTACAGCATGGCCCAGTCTGGGCTCTCTGCTTCCTGATTCACCTGAGAGGCTCCTGTCACCACCGACTGAGACATTCTGGTCATTGTGCCTTCCGTGGTGGACTATACCCTGAGTCAAATAACCCCTACCTAGGTTCTTTTGTTGAGTATGGAATATACAGAGAAGTGGGGTCATTGTTGCAATTAACCTGACCATGGTGTGCATAGAACTATTGGAACTGGTTTATAGGAGGCATGTAGAGAAGTTCTGAGATGTGGCCTAGAGAAGCCCTTAGGACACTGTTCTCAGCTTAATGGGTCATTCTGGTGAGAGAAGACAAAAATGTGACTAGGAATGTGGAAAATAGAGATTGCTCACAAGATTTCAGAAGAGAAACAAGACCACATCAGGAATTGGGTGAGAGGCCATTTGTGCTGAATTCTGTAAAAGTGGTTGTGTTCTGCTCATGTGCTGGAGATTTGAGTACAGATGGATTTAAAAATACAGAGTGATTTACTTCATGGAGGGAATTTCAAGATAGGGTAACATTCAGGCTATGCCATGGTTATTACTCACTGATTTTCCCCTTGATTTATCGTGAGAACTTAGAACAAAAAAGTAAAGCAGAAAAGAACATCCAGTTTCATAGCAAAAGAGCTTGAAAGAGTTCAAGTTTGCTATAACTGTTAAAGAGATTACATCACTAAAGAAAATCCTGTACTTAATGCTGGGACAATGTGGAAGGTGACCCAAGAGCATCATCTATGACTCCCAAGTGTGAAATGACAAACTCATTTGAAAAATGTTCTCCGCAAAAGATCGTTAAAGTGTGTCCTCAGCATTCTAGAACACCAGTCTGTCCCTCTCTTCTCCCTCACTCTAGTTTCATATTTGGTCATACAATCTCTTCCATGCACAAATATTCTCACCATGATGTAGCATGGACGCAAAGCCTAAATCACTGGGGCTGCCTGATCTTGAACTTGGAACACTTCCATAACGCTGAGCTCAATAAACTTCTTTATAAGTTAGCCACTTTGGATATTTCATTGTACTTAAGCAAAGTAAATGAACACACTAGTTTCTGAGGGGTGTGTATGTGTGTGTGTGTGTGTGTGTGTGTGTGTGTGTGTGTGTGTGTGTGTCTGTGTGTCTGTGTGTCTGTGTGTCTGTGTGTGTAGGGGGAAGGTGCTGGATTTTGTTAAATGAGCAGACTTTTCTTTTTTAGCCTGTTGTCATGGGTTACATTTAAACTGATCTTTAGATAGGGTTGAAATTATTTTTATTCTGAGATTTAGTGATAATCTTCCTAAAACTGGGTTATCAGAACAAATGGTTTAGAAGCCATAATTGGTAACATTTACAAATTATTCTAATTGAATTGCAGGGGCCTGAAGCCTCTTTTTCCAGTGAGAAATATCAAACTTCAGTTTAAATAATTAACTCTACTCTTGTGTAACTCTGCCTGACCTACTTTATTGAATAAAACATTACATAGACTTCAATACATCATCTCTATGAACACAGAGCATGCTCAAATTCCCAGTTAAATCAAAGACTTTTCACCAGGGTTTGGTTACAAAGTACATAGTTTCTCCTGGCCCTGTTTAAATCATTTCCTCTTTGGTATAGATAGTTTTCTTGAAGTCTGAGCTGCATTGTAGACTTGTTATCAGTTTTATATTATAAACCTGAAAATTCTCCATGTCAATCGGGATAATAAGATTTCTGTTAGTGAGTTAATTACTTTTATGGTGTCAAAGAGAGTTTTAACTCAGTATATAGTTGGGATTGATTGACAGACCTACTCTTTCTCTTCCTCCTTTTTGTTTCAGACAGGGTCTCACTGTGTAGCACTGTCTGTCCTGGAACTCTTTATGTAGACCAGACTGACCTGAAACTCAGAGATCCACCTGCCTCTGCCTCCCAAGAGATGGGATTAAAAGTGTGCAGCGCCACACCTGGTCTTTGGTAGACTTTCTTAGTTTTCAGCAGCAAGGAGTAGAATCCTTTGGGTTATTGGGTAAGGATGGAGGGGGTAACTACTGTAGGATGGGGCACAGTCGGGGGAAAGGCAAAGGTATAGAAACAGCAATTACCGGTTCCCAGTGGGCCTTGTGTTCACCGTGGCAAGTAGCCCCCGTTTCATTGGTCACGAGTTTCCATTGTTAAACTTGTTCCAAGATGCTCAGGAGCACAAGCACTGATTTCTGTCCACCGAGCTTGCCTGTTTCCTGCCACATTGTTAGTAAAAGGTATTTTACAGTCCTGGTAAAATATCAGAGTTAGAGGCTGTAATCTTCCTGCTTTAGTTAGCGGTTTAATCCATTCAGGATAAAAATAATACCAGTTTGCATTGTTGGTTTGGCCTTTTGTTGCTAGCTTCTTCCATGTCCCCAAGTGGTGGCCCAGTAGAAGTTACTTTTTTCAGCCCTTTATTTTAATAATTAAAACTTAGCCTTCTTGATTTGTAAAAAATTTCTAAATTAGAAATTATCACTAATAATAAATATACAATTAGACTTAGGATGGTGAGGTCAATACAGACATAGTTTTCTATATTGTTAAGTGCCACTCATATCCAGATTACATATTTATTTTGTACATCAACATTGGTAACTATTTTTTTTTTTGCTAGTTTTTTTGGGGTTAGAGGGAAGAGAACTGAAGTCAGTACAAGAAAATAAGAAAGTCTTTAGATCAGAGGAGAATTATGAAGTCCATCTATTAATTCAAACAAAAGAGCCTGGGGCCCCTCCCCATACTTAGTGTTTATAAGTTAACACCGTAGATGTATGTTAGTTTATTTGTTGTTTTCAGAACATATCGGACTAGCAGCAGTAAATTGGGAGGAGCAGGGAGCCTTCAGAACAATAGTAGCAGAAAGACAGGACAGCTGCTATCTAACAGTGAAACATGGACATGAAGAGCATCTCTGAGAATTTTGCAAAAGCAGATGAGTAGGGACAGTTAGTATACAGAGCAGGCAGGCAGCCTTTCATGTGTCAGTAGCCCTTGGCCTTGTTCCTGTGTTATAGAATAGTATAAAAGCTCTTGTTCATACTAATCAGGTAGCCATAGCAAATACTTTAGGAATAGCCGTTGAATGAATCATTAAGAAAAAAAAAATACAGTTGGTTAACCCTCCATGTGTTAGATAAAATGAAACATGACTTATTTCCCTTTATTATAGAGAGGTTTTCTTTATTATTTTCATTGTTATTACTGTTATTTAGTCCTTAAGGACTGAATGCAGGGCCTCATGCATGGTAAGTATTCTACTACTGAGTTACACAATACCCCTCTTGTTGTAGTACTGAAGATTCAATCTAGGGACTCACACAGACCACAGTCCCCAGCCCCATTATTGTTGTAATTAAAGCCCTATCTGTGGAATTTATCGGCATAGGCTTTAGTTAACAAGAAGATTAATTTAGGGGAATGATTTTATTTCTGTTAGTTCATATGCACTAGAAGTTACAACCACTTAATTATTCGTTTTATATTTATACTTTTGCTTATTAGGATTAAAATACTACTACATGGTTGCTCACATAAATTGTTTTCATTTTTCCTTTGACTTTCAGAAGTCTCTACCATCTGGGGGAATGTTTCAGAATTTGTGGAAAAGCAGCTAGCTATGCATAAGGTAGGTTTTTTTCTTTTCTTTTGTTTTCTTTTCTTTCCTTTTCTTTTTTGACAAATGTCGTTTATTGAAGGAGGGAAGAGGTCTTAAATACAGGCTTACAGTACAATGGGAGAACCCCAGAGGGCAGAAGTTTGCTACTGATGTTTTACAATTTTGCATCTAAGCTGTTAACGCCCATTATGCAGGATACACAGACAAGGAACTTCTCTTAAGCATTCAGGAGGGTGGAACCTGGCAGGGAATTAGCATAGGGAGGATATCAAGGTCAAGGTCAGCAAGCAAGGCAACAGTTACCCAAAACAGGGGCCAGGGACCTACAGGTCCCCCTTTTACTAGAAAATGAGCTTCTGACTTAGGTTGTGTGGGATGTCAGCAGGTCACCTTACCTGTCGTGGAGATGCCTGCCCAGGCCACATAGGCACTTTGAATACTCATTATCATACAGGCTCAATTGTGTGTGAGCTGCAGAGTTAACTGCTACCAAAGATCTCAAAGTGGCACTGGGTTTGCAATCTGTGTGTTCGTCACAGAAAAGATCAACAGAAGTCCTAACCCACCCATAGCCAGTAGGCTAAAGGCAATTGAGCCATTCCCTTCCTTAATGAGCCTTATTGCAAATTGGAGTCCTTGTAAGATGATATCCCAAAAGCAAATGGATCTTGAGTTTATAAATTTATAATTTTCAAAGCCAATCGAATTGTATATAGCTATTGAATTAAATGTATCATGCCCAATAGAATGAAAAATTAACTAACTGTGGTAGCTACTTTTGTTGCCAGAGTCTCCACTGTGCTAGCTGTAGTAAGCAATTATGAAATGTTAATCCCAGAAACAGTAGCAGCGGTGGCTGCCACTGCTATAACAGCAACAACAGCAGCAGCGATGTCAAATTCTCTTCTGGAGTGTGTGGGCATCCACTGGCATGGATACAATTCCAGGAACATGAACCGCCAAGGCCCATTTTTCTTGATCCCAGCACGACTTAAGCTGGTAGCTCTGCAAAAGAACAACTAAGAACCATAAAGAAAAAACAGGCAGCTCACAAGGAGCATAACTAATTGTCTCATAATGGCTATATTCAGGCTCATAAATTTTAAGGTATCTTCAAAGGGGGCTAAATGAATTTCAGGAGGCCAATAAATGTTGCATAGAGTCACTCCTGAAAAGTAGGTACTACACCAGCTTGAAGAGGATTGTGAAAATGAAAAGGCTTAGCTGGCATGCTACTGTTAACAAAGGGAGGTCAGTGACCTTGAGGGTTATTCTTACTCTCTAAGGTGTCTGGGTGACATGTTCTTAAATATACTTGAAAAAGCAGTTACCATACATTGCCTTCTGTAGAATCCAACCGCATGGCTACAGTTCCTAGGCTTATGTTAATGCTTGCCAAGGCTGGCCATATTGGGCTCTCAATCCCCATTGGCATCAGAAGGGGAGAGTTTTTCACTAAGGCCCAATAAGTCTCTGCCATGCTGGGCTTCAGCAGCAGTCACAGGGTGCACACAGAACTCAGGAATCCAAAGAGGAACCTGCATAAGGTAGGTTTTACACTCCAGTTTCAACACAATAATTCGAGAGCTATTTCTTCCGAGGACTTGCAGACTTCTGCTGGGGATAGTGCAGTAGATTTAGAGCCATTCTGTTTTGTTGTCTATCCTTTGTGATTTTGTTTTTTGATACATGTAGAACTTGTGGCAAGCTGGATATTATCTTTAGACAACACATTTGTAAATCTCTTTTAATGATACAGAGAACACAGTGTTGCTCCATCTGGGTTTGTGTAAAGAAACTATTTGTGGTCTGATAGTTCCTGGCATGAGTATGGAAAGGAAGAAATTTCTTGTTCTGCCATTTTGCTGGAAATAAATTTTAATTGGAATCTATAAATACAGAAACTAAATTCAGCTAGTGCAAAATAAGAAACTACCTGTGGTTGGACTATTTCTTCAAGTCAAATCTTGGGTTTAAATGCTGTAGAACTAGGTAGAGATTTTGGAAGGAGCCTGGAGGCAGTTAGGAGGTTGTGGAACTTTTATACCTTACTCACATGTCCTAATGATGACAGTCCATGACTGAATGAACCCTTCAAACTTATTTTATTTGGTTTGGGAATTTGAATTACTTATCATTAATTAAAATTGGCAAAGTATTTGTAAAGCTTCGTATTTTTCTTGCCATTTTCTTGAAAACTCAACAGGCTTAATGATATTGGTCTTTCATATTTGTATGTGATCATGGATGCAGGCCATGATGTGTTCTTCCCTTTACATGAAGCATGCATCTTCTGGCCACCACACATTCTAGTTGGTTCCCTTCATGCCCTGGCTTTTTTTTTTCTGTTCCTATAGATTTGAGTTTGTTACCACTGGTGTATGATATCTTAGAGTATCACATGTCATATCACAGACCAAATTTGAGGTCAAGAGGTATTTGTGTTTACTCAATGGCCAAGGTTACATTGTAGGAGATTCCTGGATGCTGGTTTGTCAGATTCCATTTCATCTCATCTACTTATCCCATTTCGTTAGTTAACACACAAGCACTGGGCTTCATTGTGACCTTTTCTTACATACATGATTGGGCTTGCTCATATTCAGCCCTCTCCCACTAGTGAGCTGTCTGACTTTAAATGGGGAACATAAAATCTGAGAGAAGAAGAAAACAAAGATTTCATTAAATGGGAAATGATTGAACTTCTGCCACATGATTTAGGACAAGGATAATATTTGATATGAATTTTTAAAAGCTACGGTACTCATAAACATTTTCATAAAAATATTACATCAAAAAGCACTCACAGAGACTACTGAATGTTAAGTCAGTAAGCTTAAATCTTCACTTTCTTTTTGCTGATTGGATGGTTATGAAACTTTACCCTTTAATGGAACTGTGTGTGCTCTTCTCTTTTGTCTTCTTTTTCCCTTTCAGGGAGTTCAGATTTCAGGACTCGGAACTTTCACCTTCACCAGGCAGAAGCTTGAGGTGGGAAACAACAAGTTTATTCTAGTGCAGAGGCCAGTGTTTATCATGGCGGAGAAGTTAGTGCAGAGCCATGGACTCAAACAGAACAAAGTCTTCTCTCCCGGTAAATCATTTTAACAGATGAGACTCCCCCCCCCCCCCCCGCCCCCCCCAGAAATGGATTGGCCTGTGGAGACAAATGGAAAAGGCAAAGCTTGGTCAGTGCTGCATTAGTTTCTGGTTTGAGAGACTCAGGTTTCACATGGTACTTTTGGCAGAAGGAGGAGCCAGAGTGGAGAAGTTAAAGTCTTCCTGAAGTTCATTCTGTTTACTTTTTAAATATATATTTTAGTGTGGTGTGTGTGTGTGTGTGTGTGTGTGTGTGTGTGTGTGTGTGTGTGCATGTGGTGATCAGAGGACAACCTGTGGGAGTCAGTTCTCTCCTTCTGCCCTGTAGTTCCTGGGGATTGAACTCAGGTCCTAAGGCTTGGCATCATGTGCCCTTACTCGATGAGTCGTCCTGTCAGCCCCTGGAGTCCATTTTAGACACTAGTAACTTAAGAGGCAGGCACAGGAAGACCGAGCTCTTTTAAAAGTCATGCTACAGAGTTCTACAGCCTTATACTCATGTTTAGGTCCTAAGAAACTATCAGTGACTATAAAGAAGAGAAACCTAATTTAGAGTCTCTGGGTAATGAGAAAAATAATGTCTATCATATATATAATCTAAATTATTAAAAGTTAAAATTTAATAGTGCTGCACTTAATATATATTAACTTACAGGTTCTTTTTTTTCATGCCCTACTTCCTTTCTTTCCTCCCCTTTCCTTTCTGTTCCTCTCCTTCTACAAATGTTTATCAAGGGCCAACTCTATAGGTTCTAGAGCTACAGTGGTAAACAAAACAAACATAACCCGTGTTGTATTTGCACACTTACGTCTACGCTCAGTGTGTGGGCTTCACCATACCGGAGGGGCTGGTTATCCACAGTTGAGGGCTTAGCTGTCAGGCTCTGTGTTCCTTATTGTCTCCAGTGGCATCACATTCAGCTGTGGTTAAAGAGAAATGGTGTGCCCTTGGTGGCTGAGGTGAAAAGCCTTAATTTTCCTTTAAGTTAACTCTCCAGAAAACTGGTTTTCAGGGTAACTCTCTATGAAAAGGAGAAAGCTAGCCAACTGTCCAGGCACAGTGGCTCACTCTGTAATCTCAGCACTAGCAAGCCTGAGGCAGGAGGATTGCCACAAATTTGAGGCCAGCAAGCTCCAAGCTGGTTGGACCTACAGAGTGAGACTATGTCTCAAAAAATAAAACTGCCGAACAAGCAAACAAAACATATGCTGGGGAAACAAAAACCAAGACTAGAATATAATTTACGTTGCATATATTCAATATGGTGGGTTTGAAAACATTTCAGCCATTCACCTAAAATTGTATGTTTTATCAAACAGTATGAAAGGAAATGGAAACAAAGTGGGTTTCTTTTGAAAAATACGTTTGCAGCCAGGCGGTGGTGGCGCACACCTTTAATCCCAGCACTTGGGAGGCAGAGCCAGGCGGATCTTTGTGAGTTCGAGGCCAGCCTGGTCTACAGAGTAAGATCCAGGAAAGGCGCAAAGCTACACAGAGAAACCCTGCCTCGAAAAACCTAAAAAAAAAAAAAAATTGCTTTAGAATTAAGAGTTTATTCTTCCACTTGGATCTTGTATCATAATCTTAAAAAGTAGTTTAGATCTACAACTCGTTTTTTTACAGAGTGTAGAAATTTCAGAATTAAGTAGTCCAAGAGAACAACCCTGTCTACATCTTAGATTTAGAGTTAAAAATTATTCGTTATTAACTAACTACATAATCAAACACTGTAGAATGGTTTTCAGTAATTGGTAAGAGATGACTCTTTCTTAGAAACTCTCAGGATTTAGTGCTGCAAGAGCAGCCTTGGTCAGAACTGGACCAAATGTGATGCAGGTCTGCGGGAGATTATACCTGTCTCCATCTGGGGGAGGTTTTGCTGGCAGAGAAGCCATGAGACCATATCTCAGCAAGTGTATGAACAACTCAAGGCTAGGAGACAGAGTAAACCCTGTTACGAACATCCTGGCACTTCTGTGTAGCCAGAACTGGCTGTGGCAAATTGGAGGGGCGTAATTATGATAAAAAATGGTAGGAAAAGATTACTGGTGTGATAAGGGTGTTAGGATTCATCCTATGGGCACTGGGAACTCCTGACAGGCTTGAAGTGGTGCACTTTTGGTACTGGTTAGTCTTTAGCTTAAGAGGAGCACTTCAGATTACAGCAAGTTGGTGAAATAAGTCAAAAGCTCAAGCGGAGGCAGAGACGGTGAGGAAAGAATAGGATACAGTTCAGGTGAGAGCCGATGGGACCAGGTAAGAACGGGGGAGTTACTTAGAGTAACTCAGATTTCTTGTGAGAGAAGAGCGAATGCTCACGGTGACGGGTAATGTAGCAAGCTCGTCTTGAGACACATTGAATCTGGCATTCTTCTAGGGATATGTAGACAGAGGTGATCCCAGAGCTTAGAAGAGACATGGAGAACACAGATCTAGCTTTGAATAAGACTCTCTAGAAGAGGATATGAAGAAGCAGGTGAGGCTAGAGTGGAAAAACAAACTCTCCCAAATCAATACACGTGAAAATCAGAACAACTCCGCAAGCCCCTCAGTATAATAATAAGGAGTAAAAGACCAAAGCCAGCAACTAGACCAAGAGGAATTGGAGAAGCGAGGGTGGTGTTGCAGATATAAGGGAAAAGAGGGCGTGAGCAACAGGTCCCTGAAAGGTCATGAGAGGAGATTTGCAAGTATCCACTGGCTCATACACCACGAGAGAAAGTGTCTTTCCTGGCATAAGTGGACTGGAAGACTGGCTGTGGAAATGCAAAGGGCTATGGGAAAGCAAGAAATCTGACTTTCTATTTTAAGAAGCATGCATTAAAAAGAAGCAGAGGGAGGTGTTAGGAAACCATTGTTCGGGCTGGAGAGATGGCTCAGTGGTTAAGAGCACCGACTGCTCTTCTAGAGGTCCTGAGTTCAATTCCCAGCAACCACATGGTGGCTCACAACCACTTGTAATGAGACCTGGTGCCCTCTTCTGGCCTGCAGGGACATATGCAGGCAGAATACTGTATACATAATAAATCTTAAAAAAAAACAAGGAAACCATTGTTCATTGTGCAGGAGACTGGGCTGATACAGTGTAGGTCACAGCCGGTAGAGCTGCTAATTCTTATCACTCAGCAGTAGTGGGCAGTTGAAAGAATAATTTGTGCTAAGTGAATGCTTGGAGCATGCCTCTCTGCATGTTGCTCCTCCACCAGTGGACCTTGTTATGGCCATTCTTTGTCATGGTCATCTCTGCCATCTTTGCTGTTTACTTTTTTCTGACCTGTGGGCCTTGCACAGCTCCTACATCAGTTCTAGGTAAATAGATCCCCGCTTCCTTCAAGCAACACACAATCGTGTTCCTTTGCCCTGTCGTTTGTGAGCTCTTTGGAAAGAAAGGCTTTCTGCATCTCGTCTAGCTGGATACTTTTGTATAAGACTTAGTTTCAGGAAAGATAAGATGGCTATCTTTTCAAACGTTTAATATTTACAAATATTTGTAATTACCTAAAGATGCCATGGCAGCCAGAAGACATTCATAAATACAGATGCAGAGTGTTATGGAAGAAGAGGGATCTGAAAACCTCAGAAAACAATAAATAGAAACAATTTTTCACTGCTCTCCTCCCAGAAAACCAAATCCTTGTTTAGACTATTTAAATGGCCAGTTATTTTTATCATGAGCCAATTACATTATACTTTTAGGTGACATTGAGATAATGAATACATATATTCATTATCTGAAATAATATTACAAGTATAAGGGGAAAATGGAAAATTCTATTTTTTAATATTAATCAGGTAATTAATTAAAAGTGTTCACAATATGTCTTTATTATGTCTTTAGTATAATCTTTAGTATGTCTTTAGTATAATCTCCTCCCAACCCTGTCTTTTTCCCCTCCAGGTGATATACCAGTTGTCCCACTTAACTTTGTCATGATATCTCTGGAGGGCCCATTTAACAGGGATACAATAGAAGGATGTGTGAAGGAGACATTGCTTTTTTTATCACGATCCATATCTGTCAAACAAAACGTGGAGTTCACATTCAAAGGAATCGGGGTCCTTTCCATCAGAGACAGCAAAGTGAAGATGAGATTTTCTAAGGACTTCCTTTGTACGATGGATGGAAGTGGTACCTTGACAAAAGCCCTTGCAAATGTAAATTGTTTTCTTCTAATCTTCCCTGGTTTTGTTTCTATGATTGTGATAAAAGAGCCCGATGAACAGCAACTGAAAAGGGTTTGTTAGCTCACACTTCCAGGTTACAGTCCATCAGGGTAGGGATGTCATGGTGGCAGGAACTTAAAACAGCTAATTACGCCACATCCACAGTCTGCACTCTGGGGCAGTCCAGGGGCCAAATCTAGGGAATGATACTGTCCACTGTCAGTCTGCATCTTTTCACATCGATGAAGGCAATTGAGATGGTCCTCTACAGACATGTCCACAGGCCAGCCTGAACCAGATAGTCCCTCACGGAGACTGTCTTCCTAGGAATTCTAGATCGGATCAAGTTGACAATTAAAATTAGCCATCATACAACCTCTCTTTCGATCTGTGGTTCTGAATCAAATGTGGCTGTACTTTCATGAAGAAAGTCTATTGGGGCAGGACAGGCATGGTGGTACATGCCTTTAACCTCAGCACTTGAGAGGTAGAGGCAGGCAGATCTCCATGAGTTTGAGGGAAACCCAGTCTACATAGTGAGTTCCAGGACAGCCAGGGTATGTAAAGAGACCCTGTCTCAACGCCCCCCCTACCCCCAAATACCAAACAAATAAAAGAAAAGCTTCTGTTGACATATTTTAAGTGACAGTTTTCTCAAGTGTGTGGAAATGTGTGGCTATAGGCAGCCAGTTCCTTGACAAGTAAGACAAAGAACTTCAAACCACGTTTCAAATCAGTGCTACCTACCCAAGGAATGGAAAAAGCAATAGAAACTCATAATTCTGGACATTTTATAGTACCTTATTGCTGAAAAAACTGTCCTGCATGAATTATTTCACTTCAGTCTCAAAATACCACAAAAACAGCACTATAGGATCATCACTGATTTCCCATGCAGAATGTAGAGGGTCCTAGTGGTCATATTGTGAAGCCCAAGTCAACACAGTCAGCACAGGAATTCAAGCCCAGAGTTCCCCAGCGCTCAGTTTTTGAAGCTTGTACTATCTCATCTTAAGAAAGTTTACAATAAAATCTAATTCAAGCCATGCAAACACACTTCTAAGCTTCTTGTCCTTTCACTTTATTTCTTACGTGTATGGTGTTTTGCTGGCATGCTGTCTGTGCACATGTGTGTAGTGTCCATGGAAGCCAGAAGAGGGCCCCAGATACCCGAGAATGCAGTTACAATTGTGAGCCGCTGTGTGGGTGCTGGGACTCAAACCAAGGTCCTCTGGAAGAACAGCCAGTGCTCTTAACTGCTGAGCCATCTCTCCAGCTTCATACTTTGTAGCTTTTAGTTTGTAGTGTCTTAAAATACATTTCATAACTGTCACCACCATTGTTAACCATTAAGTAGCTGGCATGATGTTCATGCTAAGTTAGAGATAGCAGAGTTTAAAGAGGCAAAGAAATAGTTAATCAGTAGCATTTATTTAGGGTTTAATGGCTTTATGTGCACATCTGGGTGCTAATAAAAATGACAGGAATTAATTAAATCGTCACAAAATCCCAAAAGCAAAAGTTTGATTTTTTTTTTTTACAGTGAAAAGACTGTGAAAACTGTCTGTCCATTTCTCCCTTCATGGACCTCTGCTGTGGGTATTGAGAAGATGGGTCCGTGTATAAGGAGGCCCCTTGGAGTTTTCCACATAATCTTATTTTATGCAGGTTTACTAAGGGGGGATGCTGCCCCACTGTGTGGAAAATAGAAACTGAGAACACAGGGCAGGATCTGCAGATGTACAAGAAGGGCCCAAGTGGCCGGCTGGCTTCTTCCTAACTTTGGAGGACTCTGCTGAATTTTAAGCACTGTTTAAAGAGGAGCTGATGTTCTATCGGTCCACTGAACTCTAAAGTGTAACTGTTCTGTGTCCCTTGCCCCGGTGGACAGAGGCACCGTGTACACGGGGTGTTACGGAGCTGAGAAGTCAGGCTGTAGTGCAGCTGGCTTGACATGAATTTAGCCCTGGAACTCTGGGCTAATCATACCCCTTAGCATCTCATTCACTCCGTAAACACTGTGAAGTGTGGTGGGAAGTGCTAGTTTGACCGGCAGATGTCCTATAACTTAAACCTGAGTGTGGTCCTGAAAATAGTCCTCTTGGGAACTTCATGTGCATAGTTTGGTGATTAAAAAAAACAAAGACAAAACACCTTTTGGGAATTTTCTTAAATTTTTTTAAAATTTATTTTTATTTTATGTGCGTTGGTGTTTGCTTCCATATATGTCTGAGGGTGCCAGATCTCCTGGAACTGGAGTTATAGACAGTTGTGAGCTGCCATGTCGGTGCTGGGAATTGAATTGGGATTCTCTGGAAGAGCAGTCCATACTCCTAACCTCTGAGACATTTCTCCAGCCCCTTTGGAATTTTCTTTAAAGCCTTTTGTAGGCGATAGAATTTATTCAGAAATAATTATATATTAATCCCCGATAATAATGTGGTTATTATATAAGGTGATAACCACAATAGCTCTTGGCTGCATGCTCTGTACACATTTCCATAGAATATCTTATTAAAATCCTGCAAGACAGCTCCAATTGTTATCCCTACAAAGCCGGTGCCTGGGGACACACAGCAGCTAGCAGTGTGCAGGGGACACAAGCCCGCTTGACTTCAGAGACCTCTGAACTGCCTAACATTCGAGTCCTGTGGGTCAAGAGGGGAATCTGAGCTGTGTTCGTTGTCTGAGAGTTTCTGGCTGTTTGCTCACTTTCCAAAGATGTGTAGAAGAAGCTTCAACTCCTAGGGCAATTTTCAAAAAGAGGAGATGGTTTGAGAAAAGGCAGCGTTTGTGGAACTGCTGTTCAGCGTCCCATGTGAACTTTGGTGAAGGAGGTCACACTCTACTGGACTTGAATCGCTGAACAAATAGAAACAGCGCAGTGGTAGCATTGCCTTGGAGGCAGCCTGTGTGTCTTGATCTGTTCTGGTTCACAGCTCAGGTTCTGTCTCTATCCTCCAGCGGCCTGGCACCATGGACTCAGTGCTGTCTAGCAGAGATGGCTTTGGAAAGCGTCCCAACAGCGCACTGGCCTTTCCAAGGTGAGTGCTCTGGGGGTTAATCCAGGCACCAGTTCTCTTTGCTTATTACGTAGTATTTGTTTTCCAAACTAATTTTCCAGCTTCTCTCCCCTTTTCTGCCACCTTCTCTGTTTCTCTCACTCCTTTCTTTCCTTTTCTCTCTCTCTCTCTCTCTCTCTCTCTCTCTCTCTCTCTCTCTCCCATCTCTGTATAGGCACCAAGCAAGAGTTTATTGCATATATTTTCTATGATTAAATTTTAGAAAAATGACCTCTTCCCGATGATTCTGACCCTACATACCACTCATCTTGGTTCCTGCAATATTTGTAATACTCTTGCCGCTGGATTTCCTCTATTTTTTTCCTACTCCCTCCATCCTAGCTTCTTTTTCTTCCAGCTCCTAGCACACCTCCTATCTAAGCTTTGACTATTAGGACTGTAGAGGAATTTCTAAACAGTCTTATTAGATAAGAAACACAGAGCCAAATACAGGGGTGCAAGCTGTAGAGATCAGAGTGATACCCACCAACTAATCTTAGCTCACCACACCACCATCACTTCCCAACAGAACCTCTTCCTGTTTAACCTACGCCTTTATTGCCTTACTGTTCTGCCTTCTCATTGGCTCTTAACCCAGGCACCTCACTTTCTTGTCACTGCCTGTCTATACAGACCTCCAGGTCTCTATGGTTGGCACTAGGATTAAAGGCATGTGTCACCATGCTTGGCTGTGTCCTTGAACACACAGAGACTCTGCCTGCCATGTGATCAGATTAAGGGCATGTACCACCACCGCCTGACTTCTATTTATGGTTAGTGATGACCTCTGATCTCCAGGCAAGCTTTATTAACATACAAATAAAATATCACATTTCAGCACAAATAAAATATCACCACATAGGACTAAGCATGCTGATTCTGTACCCTCAAGAAGATGGAGAGTGTTATCCGGGGGCTGCTGCTGGCGATGATAATTGTAACCCATAGCACTAGTAGTTGCTCCTTGGAGCAAGTGTTCAACTCTTAGGCACTCTTTCAGTAGCATTATAGTCAGTCTTCACTATATAAGCACTCTCAGGGGGTGGTTAAAGAGTTCTATATGTTTGAGAGTGTTGAAATGGGTATGAAGACTCAAATATGCAAAACAAATGTCAGAGTTTATTTCTGTAAAGTTTGGTCCTTGAATTTATTTCAAGGCACAGGCTCTCATTCCGGTGGGAGTGCCCTGAACTCGCACCTGAGACCAAAGAAAACCTTCAACTGCACACACCAGCAGAACAGCACTTCCCAAACTGTCTCTTAACGGTTCTTCTTTTTACGCAGGGAGAGATGGGGGAATGGAGAGGAGGAAGGGGATAAATGGTTATTACAGGGTGCAGTCTGGCTATCGGGCTATGATTTCTTGACTTCAAGCTGACAGACATCTCTCACAGATGTAGAAAGGACAGAAAAACTCAAATTGAAACCAAAGGGAAAAAATTTAAGTTGAGGTGTTCAAGCAATTTCTTTATATCAAGCTCTTTTTGGGGCCCATGATACAAGGGTATGTGGTTTTGTCAGGGTCCCAGTTTTGGCCTCAAAGAGAGGGAGTTCATGCTACATATTTCACAAGGCAAATCTTGCACCCCCTTGAAGGAAGTAGGCTTGTTGTGAAATCAGAGAGGTGGTGGGTTGCTTCTCAGAAGTGAGAGTCCACACAGTCACCTGTTCAGGATCAGTGCAGAGGACAAACATCTTGATTTATTCTTAGGATTGAGCACAAAGAGACAGAGAACAAACCACCCATGGAGGCCATTGCAGAGGAAGGTGGAGAGAACAAACCAAGGAAGACCAAGTTGAAAGACTCGTCAGACAAAGAAGAAGGAGCCAGGGGTAGGCCAATAGTTTGTGGGTACAGGCTATTGTTCTTTTGTGAACTAGGTGGTATTACTTAGGAACACATATGCTCAAAGTAAATAAAGTTAGTGTGTTAGTTACTTTCCTTGTTGCCATGAAAAAATATTTGACGAGAAGTGACTTAAGGAAGAAAAGGTTTACTCTGGCTTGTGATTGGGTTCCAGGAGCTAAGCATGGCAGGGTGGGAGGCCAGTTGATCACATTGTATCTGGAGATAGGAATCAGAGAGTGACCAGGAAGTGGAGTCCACCTGTAAAACCTCAAGGCTCACCTTCAGTGACTCATTTTTTTCCCCCATCAAGGTCCTACCTTCTTAAAAGTTCTTAGCCTTCTCAAACAGTGTCACCCACTGAGGACTTAGTGTTTTAAAATACAGGAGTCTATGGGAGACAGTTCACATTCAAACTGCAACTTTTAGATTCACAAATAGCCACTGTATCCTTTTTTCTTCTTCTTATAAACACTTTTTAATTCCTGGAACCCTGTATCTTGCCTTAACCCTGTGACTCCCAGCTCTTACACTGCTATCTGTTTGGTAGGACCCCCTGTTGCTTGAGCAGGTTCTGATAGACAGCATAAACGCATGAAGTGGACTTTAGGGCGTACTCTGTCTCAATAGGGTAAGAGATATTTAAAGAAAAGAGCATGTCCTACACGAAACTTTTCCTTGGTAAAGACCTGTTGGAATTTATGTGTGTATTTAGCTGTTTGAAAATCGAAGAGACTGTCACTTGTGTTTGTTATTTATTCTAGATATCTCATCACCCAAGAAACATCGTGATAGGCAAGCTATGTCTCCTGCTAAAGTGACAAGTGTCAGCCTGCTGGACAAGTTGGATCGAAGTGGGAATGGTGGGAAGGCCGTGACCTCTGAAAAGTAATGCGCTGACCTTTTTTGCTTCTGCACTTTGCTAAATATAATCTTGAAGTCTTCCCCGGACTGAGGAAATCTTAGTAATTCTTCCATTACTTTATTAAGTATTACTGAGAACATTCCATGTGGGAGGTGATGGGGACTATAGAGGTGACCAGGGCTCATAATCTAAAGGGAAATCCAGGTACATGTGAATGAATGTTATTCAGCTGAGGCAGCTATAGCACAGGGAGAGTTCAGCAGGCCTGACTGCTTTCACAAGCTGCTTCCCAACTCTGCAGGCATTGTTGATTTCTGAGGGTTTACAAATCTCACGACAGTTTTATAGGGACATCAAACGGAAGGTAAGTTTGTCACACAGGCCTGGCACTCCATCATTTCTTTATTCACCAGTGTTCTGACGTATCTGTTTATGTTGTCTTTCTGCGTGTTCTGTAATGATTCTTTGGGCAAGTTCTCTGCTTTTTCCTGCTATTCTTTTTATGCTTTTTCCTCTATTTCTTTTACTGCTTAAGTGGACTAGTATTGTGTTGCTGATTCTTGGTTGATGGTTATTTTTTTCCTCGGCATTTTAATGAAATGCCTCTACTTTCTCCTGTTACAGGTCCCAAAGAGACCTTTGAGTTTTTCCTTCTTGTAGCTTTTACATTTCCTTTCTTAGTGTTTGCTTTTCTCACTCTTCACAGGAGTTACATACGGCTTTCTAGAAAATCCTTAGCCATTGTTTTCTAGAATATTGTTCTTTATTGTTTCATTTTGGCTCCTATGAAATGCATATTGGAGCACCTGAATCTTTTTTTTCTCTATTAAAAAAACCTTTTTATTTCTCTTATTTTTGTGCTGCTTTTAAAGTAGCATTCTCATTTTTATTTCAAATATATAGTTCGGATTTTTATATATCATATTTTATTAATATATAGAATGTATCTTTCTTGCCTCTCCTCTGTTTGTTTTAATTAGAGGAGCCAGTTTTAGGAGTCAGTTCTCTCCTCCACCATGTGGGGTTCAGGGTTTGAACTCAGGTCCACAGGCTTCTACCATGTCATCAGCTCTTTGGTCTCACTTTTAATTACTTCCCATGATTCTCCAGTTCATCTCTCTCTTTGAGTACACTTGTTTAATGGTGAGTTTCTCTCTCATTGTGCCATTGCCTTTATTTCCTTGGGTCTGAATTACGTCATTTGTTGGGGCTGCCGACAGAGCTTCTCTTTTGGTTCTTACATACTTAAAGTGCTCGGCAATTTTGTTTTGGGAATTTGTAGAACTATTTTCCCATGTGTTTTTCTCTGTTACATTGTTTGCATAATGTTCATGTTGTATAGCTAAAAACACTGGCAAATATTTATAATAACATTGAAAGCCATTTTCCTGGGTAATGTTGGAAACCATTCCCACATCCTGTGTGACCTCACTTCTTGGTTTCTGGAGCCTGTGTGAAGTAAGAGAATGAGACTATGTTTGATCAGGGGGTGGGAGGTGCGGGGTTAGGATTGTGGTAGGAAACACTCTGTGGCATGGAGAGAAAGCGAAAGTTCTTTATCTTATTAGAAAATTCAGCCAACTGTACTTCCGACACATCTAGATAACATATCCACAATGCAGCCACTTCTTATGACCTCTGCTGCTACCACCTTGGTCCACACCACTTTCTTCTGAGTTACCAGAACTCTGTTCTATCATTTGCCTTTGCTTCTGTATTATTTTTCTCGTTGCTGTAACTAAATGTCTGATGAAGGCAGTTTAAGAAAAGAAGGGCTTATTTTGGCTCACAGTTCAAGGATGGGCACACCATGGCATGAGAGCTTGAAGCAGCTGGTCATATTGCTCCTGCAGCCAGAAAGCAGAGAGAAATGAATGTGGGTGGTCAGCTTGCTTTGTTTTTTTTTAATTAATCCTGGCCATAGGATGGCATCTCCAGTACCAGAGTGGGTCTTAACACCTAGGTCAAATCAGTCTAGAAACTTCTCTCGTAAACACGCCAGAGATTTGTCTCCTGGATGATTCTAGATCTTGTTAAGTTGATATTTAAACACCACAGTCCCCACCTGATTTTCTCTCAGTGCTGTAGCCAAAATAATCCTGTGTAAGACAGATGATGGCATCTACTACCTAAACCCTCCCTGCTCCCCACTCTCCTGTAAGAGATAAAGTCCTTCTCCTGGCTGTAAGGGTCCTGCCTGATCTCTGATTTCTCCTGTGCTTCTCATCCCTAACTCATCTCCCTCCAACACCATGGATCCAGGAATGCTCCCACCTCCAGGTCGAGGTCCCATTTGCTCTTCTGAAATGTCTTTCCTATTGGGAATCCATGTTGTTTCTCTCACTTCCTTTGGGTATTTATGCCAATGTTTCCTTCTTAGTGGGAACTCCCCTGGTATTTGATTTGTGATTTAATACTCCATTTCTTCAGTGCACAGCATTTATGATCATCATGGAATATACTTATTTTATTTCTGCCTAGCTTTCTCCATCAGAATGATAAATCCTGGAGGATAAGGACTTCTGTGTGCATGGGTTTTGTTTGCACTGCATTTCCTGAAGAATCACACAGCAAGCAGGCATTATATTTTTGTGAAATGAATGAATTTGTCCCCATTTTGCAGAAGTGGTAACAAGATTTCCAAGATGACATACTTGGTCATGTCATCTACCTGCAAGCCACAAAATGAGTTCAAACCCAACTCTGACACAAAGTATATGTTCTTAACTTGGATGCATGTAGCTATTCTAAAGGAAACCAGTCAGATACTTTTTTCTGTATCTTTTTCTTTTCTTTCTTTCTTTCTTTCTTTTTTTTTAGGACAGGGTCTCTCTGTTATGTAACTCTAGCTGTCCTGCTCTGGCTATGTAGATCAGGCTGGCCTTGAACTCACAGGAGCCATCATGCCCAGTCCTTTTTCCTTTGTCGTATGTTTACACTTGTCTCTAAAATTATCACTCTCCTGGGGTTGGAGGGATAAGTCCTTGGTTAGAAGCACTTACCATTCTTCCAGAGGTCCTGAGTTCCATTCCTAGCACCCATATCAAGTGACTCACAACCACCTGTAACTCCAACTCCAGTGGCTTCAACACTCTTCTGTCATCTGCACTCATGTGCATACTCCTACACACACACACACACACACACACACACACACACACACACACACACACAGCTTTACATAGTGTAAAGAATCTTTAAAATAACCATTGTTCTAGAGGCTAGATTATATTAAATAATAATTTGTGTTCCATTGTCTTTGAAGTTTATCCTCTCCAGGTGGTCAGAAAAATGACAATGAGAAGCCCAAAACATCTCCTGCCCCAGCTTGCCAGGATCATAATAAGGCAGGACAGGTACAGTGCCTTCCACTGAATAAAGTCCACTCAGGCTCATTCTCTGATTTCTGTTTCTCCAAGAGAATTCTGGGAATCACTCCTCTTTAATATAATCTATGGGCACACTCAAGTGTCTGGACTGAGATTTGCCTGCTAGTCAAGAGTGCCTACTTAAGAGAAAGGGGCTAGAAAATCCCTTCTAATTTTCAGCTCTTCTGGGAGTTCATTAAATCCAATTTAATTGCTTTCAAGATTTACTCGGTAAACCTTCTTTTGCTAATTGCGTATTAGATATTATATTCACCAATATAAATTATTTTATGAAACATGTTTCTTGACACACCTAGTCTTTAGAAAGGCTGTGAAGAGAATAAAGACAAAAATTAAAATGTATAATTTGTCCTGAAATTTGAATGGTAGGAAATGTGCTATGTGTGTTTGCAACGAGCGCAACGGAATTTCCCATTGTACTACGGAGATGACAGGAGGAGGAGGGAGATAGAGGACGAGCGACTCATGCAGCAGTACCAAATTCTGAAAGACCAGGAGGCTTTCTTCAAAAACCAGGTAGACTAACCCCTTAGCAGGAGAGGGTTTGATGTGGGATGGACACCATTCTCAGACTCGACTGAGAAGCATACTGCACATACTTGCCCTGTAACACACTTTGTATGCTGCTGGGCTAACACAGGTGGTGTGTTGGTTGGTTTTATGTCAACTTGATACAAACTAGAGTCATTTGGGAAGAGTGACTTCCAATTGAGAACATGCCTCCATGAGATTTGCCCGCAGGCAAGTCTATACAGCTGGTTCTTGATAAGTGGTTGATGTGGGAGGGTCCAGCTCAGTGGAGGCAGTGCCACCCCTGGGCTGGTGGTCCTGAGTTGTATAAAGCAGACTGAGCAAGCTGTGGAGAGCAAGCCAGGAAGCAGTGTTCCTCCATTGCCCCCGCTTCAATTCCTTCCTGCCTTCGGTTCCTGCCCGGACTTCCCTCAGCGATGGAGTATGATTTGGGAGTTAGACTGAACTCATCTCCTCCCAAGTTGTTTTTGGTCATAATGTTTTATCACAATAGAAACCTTAACTAAGACAGGTGGTGTCCACGTTTTCACTGGTGAATGTCCCTGTGTTTAACACTGGCATACATTATGGATCTTCCCCTCAACCCACGGGACTGAGTTTTAAAGGTGTTGTGCACGCCTTTAATCTCAGGAGGCAGAGGCAGACAGATCTTTGTGAGTTTGAGGTCAGCCTGATCTACATATACTGAGTTCCAGGCTAGCCGGGGCTGCATAGTGGCACCTTGCCTAAAAAAAAAAGTGAAAATGATGGGTTTATTTATTTATTTGATTTTGATAAAATATAAATCTGGTCAAATCTTTATTTATTTTTTTGTTTCTCAGTGTAGCTTTGGAGTCTGTCCTGGAACTCGCTCTGTAGACCAGGCTGGCCTTGAACTCACAGAGATCTGCCTGGCTCTGCCTCCCGACTGCTGGGATTAAAGGCGTGCGTCACCACCGCCTGGCTAAATCTGGTCAAATCTTATACCTTTTAAAATCATGGTCTGTCTCAAAGTGTGTGTGTAGGGGGGGAACGACACAGAATGGTACCTTTACACTTTCCCTATGCAGAGTCCGTGGTCTCCAATAATGCTTCTGCTACTGTGTCCTGCATTTGTAGTAAAAATCTTCCATGCCTTTTTGCTATAGTTGGAGTGATGGTGTTCAGAATCCAAAAATTGGGAATAACAAACAAAAACCTCACCTCATGTCTATAAATCTTTAAGGACACCAGAAAGTGCTGCTGCATCCAAACAGGCTTCTGTGTTGGCTGGAATATGTTGACGACATAGAATTGAAAGAATAGAACATAATTAATTAATATTAATATAGAATTAATATAGAATGAAGGGTTGTTGTCATTGCTGTTGCTTTTGTTTTGTTATTTTTGAGACAGGGTTTCTCTGTGTCTCCCTGGCTGTCCTGGAATTTGCTTTGTAGATGAGGCTGGCCTTGAACTCACAGAGATCTGCTTGCTTCTGCTGGGATTAAAGGCGAGCACCACCACCTCCTGGCAGAATAAAGGGCCTTGAAGATTATATTTTATTATTAAATTAAAAATAAAAAAAACCTGTTTGCAATAGGTGAAAAGTATGGCTGCTAGAGAGCAGAATCAGAAAAATGCTGCCTATAATCTTGGAGTCGCTGAAGCTATAAGGAATCACAAGAATGAGAAACCCGAATTTTATGTGAGTCTCTTTAAATTTCTATTGATAGCATATAAGCAACACTAAAAAAAGAGATTGTGTGTTTTCTGCCAAATTGTTTCCTATCAAACTTTTTATCGCTTAAGCATTACCTTTTTTTTTTTTTTGATAATTGGATCTTTCTCAATCTCTAATTTTTTTTTTTTTTTTTTTTTTTTTGTGTGTGTGTGTGTGTGTGTGTGTGTGTGTGTGTGTGTGTGTGTGTAGTTTCAAGACAGGGTTTCTCTGTGTAATAGCCTTGACTGTCCTGGAACTTGCTTTGCAGACAAGGCTGACCCTGAACTCACAGAGATCCTGCTGCCTCTGCCTCCTGAGAGCTGGGATTAAAGGCGTGTGTCACCATGCCCAGCTATTAATCTTTAAAACAATTTTTGTTGTTTGAATATGTGTTTTTCTGTGGGAAATGAGTGACTTTTGTAACTTCCAGAAGTATTTGTAATTCCGCTGGGGGGAACTGTCTCTGGGTGGTTGGCATTTTCCTATTCAGAGCTTGGACCAATGGTTGCTCAGCACTGCAGCGCTTACTCCCCAAGTTCTGCTACTTGTGTTGGGATATTAATAAGGCAGCAGTCATCTCTTTGCAGTTTATTAACGTTGTCTTTGTTTTCATCACATAAAAATTTCTGTGGCTAATATCTCCTCACTTGCAAGACTTTGAAGCTAATATCCTATGCTGCAGGTTGTGCCATTTGAAGTAACCAAGTTGGAAAGTGGCCTGTGTAGGTCTGTCGAGGGTCGGCCTCCACAACACGGTTCACAGTCACAGTATGAGTTCTATTCATCGCTACAACTCTTGCTAACTATAGTCTGCCAATCAGGCCTTAGGCAGGCCCTAATGCCCAGCCCTAGGATCTAAAGAGAAAGCCGCAGCATTGACATCGTCTGGGAACTTGCTAGGAATGAAAACTTTTAGGGACTCACCCTAGACTTGCACCATGTGGCTTTGGAGTAGGGTGAGATCTCCAGGCGATCTGAGTGCATCAAGGTTTGAGAATTCCACTTCAGCTGGAGGCAAGCTATCTGCTTCACTTCATGTCTTCAACCACTGAATCTACCTTTGTTCCTGCCTGAATCTTTTTTATACCACTATTGATACAATCTGCTATTCTCCACCTAGATATAATAGGAATGTACTTTGTTCATCATTAGACACACATGGAGCTTCTCTGGACTGGCCATTCTGTTGGTATCTACTAGACACATATAGTATTGTAATGAGATCTTAGTCTAGAGGAGACAGATGTATGTAACCACTATGTAAATCTTTGAAAGAGCACCATATGAGCAAAGAGGAGAGCCACTTAATCCAGATTAGGGATCAAGGGATGATTCCTGCATGTAAGAGTAAGGCAAAGACGAAAATGAAGGAAGAGCTTTCCTGGCCAGGGCATCCGGGAGGGGAAGAAAGTACCGGGCTGCCATTTAGACCTGATCACTGCCTCCCTACAGGATAAGTTACAGACTACAGTTATGACCGCCCACTTCCTGCCTCTTCATAGAAAGACTAAGAGCTTCTGTTTCTATCCTCCTCCATTCTTCTCTGTCTTCTCACATTAGTAAGTTGATTGAACTAGGTTAATGTTACAGAATTTAGTTTCTGTGCAGGCTGCCATCACCAGCCAGCGCATTGCACTGTAGGAGTGATTGGTTTCTGGTTTCTTTCTCTCTCCCTTAAGTGCAACTATCTACAAGTCCAGTTGCATTTATCTCCCAAGCATATCCAATATTTGCACCAATCTCTTTATCATCCACATTACTGTCTTTCTCTAGGACACATTACAGGCATACTTCTGTTTTGCCCTCCAATAATTACTCCCCTACAATCAGTTCTTCACACAAAAACCAAAATGATCTTTAAAAATTCCTAATCAAAGTATATTACTCTCCCGTTTAATTCCTCTAATGGTGTCCCATTGAATCAAAATGAAATCCAAATTGCTTTAGATTTTGGACACAGGCACATTGCTCTGCCGGATCAGACCCTGTGTGGCTGTCCCTCCCCTCCCCCATCTTCCTTAGCTTATTGACTTGTGCTTCTTGTTCACTATGCTTCAGCAACACATCCCCCACTTTCTCTCACTGGCCATGCCTGGTCTCTTAGCACCTGTGACTCCTTCTGTTTGGGACAGAGGACCCCTGGGTATTTGCAGTGGAGGCAATTATTCCTCTCCATGGAAAAATGTCAGGCGATGCATCCAGTCCTCAGACTCTTGCTAGGATTAGGATTTCACAGCACTTATTACAACCTTAAATGACCAGATGACTCTGTCACTTTCTGTCTGTTTCCTACAGCAGAATGCAGCTGACGAGAGCAAGGTCTCTGATCTTTGTTCTTGATGGAGGGGCACCAGTTCTAGAATGTCTAGGCTCACAGTAGATATGCAGTAGACTCTCTTTCCACCCCTGCCATGTCCATGTCCATGTCCTTGTCCAGCCTCTGCACACACAATTCCCTCTTCCTTTGTAAGGATGTTGTTATTACCAGCTCAAGATCTTTTCTGAGAGAGGCTGGGAACTTATCTTAGCTCAGCGTTATCACTGAACCTGCTCATGTCATTATTATTCTGTGCGTTGTCTAAATACTAGCTGGCTAATGTTTTGGGGGCTGGGCAAATGCTAGAAATTAAGTCATGCTTGGATTTTAGTTTGTGTCGTTAACTTTACTTTTTGGTGTGTGAGAGTAGAAGAATTGCTTGTGTTTCATTTCAGAAATCCTTCCTGTTTGAAAAACGACCTCTTAGTCCTGAGATTAATGCTTTTAAGCAAGAGGAATATTCCCAGAGTCTCCTGAAACAAATGGAAAGCAAACGGGAGAAGGAAATAAAGCAAAGACAAAACAAAGAGTTGATGGATCGCTTGGAACAAGTGCAGCTCACAGAGGAGTGAGTCCAGCACATGGGCCTGGAAAGACAGAAGTTTTGTGTTGACGCTAATTTCTTTGTGGGATTGAATAAGCATTCAACATTTTGTTAGCACCTACCTCTGTAGCCGAGGGAACAAGCTAACCCAAATGACCGCTAGTACCACAGGCATAACTGCATCAAAAAGAGAAAGCCACCATTTCTCTAGTTACAGCAATGACAGGTTCTGAAAGCTCTGTACTTAGAGAGCAGCGTTTCGTACTGTTTATGATTGGCAATGCTTCTGGTAGATACAGGGAGGAACATAGCTTGAGCAGGCATCACTGCCAACTGTGAGATGCTCAAGGGACCTCACAGCAAAGCTGAGGTCTTGCTATAAGCATTGCAGCATGTTCCATTAAGCCCAAGGGCACAGACACAGGTGACATTAGAACCAGCGATTGAAAAGCAATGTGGATCAGTTTTCCCTCTGCTCACACCCACAGCTTTTTACTCGGTACCACCTTTATTCCACCTTGAGCTTGGAATATATATAAATAAATAAATAAATATTTTTTTCGAGACAGGGTTTCTCTGTGTAGCTTTGGAGCCTGTCCTGGATCTTGCTCTGTAGACCAGGCTGGCCTCGAATTCACAGAGATCCACCTGCCTCTGCTTCCCGAGTGCTGGGATTAAAGGTATGCACCACCACCGCCCGGTTGAGCTTGGAGAATATTAGTCTCAATTCTAAATTGTCAGAAAGGAGAATCTTATTGCTCAGGTTGAGTTGTCTGAGGCCCTGGGTAGGGCCAGGGGCATGAAATTTTTATCTGCCTTAGGGGGCTCCTACTTTTGTTGCTGAAGCCAGAACAGTAATTGTGTAGCATGAACAGAGATTGCTGCAATAAACAATAAGCTAGTTTCTGTGCCCAAAAGAATATACTGTTCTAAAATTTATCTGCTCCATTATACCAATTTTATTGATCATTACTAGTTTTTGGCAGGTTTTATATGGTGACTGTAAATTATAATAGGGTAGATTACTTTTCTTAAGGAAGAATTATATATTGAATCTGCCTATAGAAAGTATAGGCATTGCCTTCTTGTCTAGATCTAGAAAAGCATTTGTGTATGTGCAAGGGGTGGGGAGGGTACCTGACGTATTCATCCCATCTGGATGATATGGCCCACCCTCCACTTCTACCTGTCCTGTCTGCCCTGTGTGAACACAGTGTCTAATAGCCTGTAGACTTGAATTACCTTTTCTTATCAGGAGAGCTCCCAGAATGGATGATGAGTTTTTATGCATCATGTACACATTCCTGTTAATACCGAACATGTTTTGATAAGGCTAGCTTGTGTTGCTGTACTCAAACTGCAAAGTGGCTCTTTCGTCTTCTCTGCTTCTTAAATATCAGGCTTGCTGCACAAAGAGCCCAATACCTAAAAGAGAAGATGGAAGAAACACAGTACTACAAGAGAGCTTTGGATGCGCAGGTAGGGAGAGGATGATCATTACTTAAAAATTGTGCACTGCATCAACACTCTTCTGTAAATAAGCACACAGTGATGCAAACATGCATACATGCTATTCATTTGGTAGGTTTTGAGGCCCCTGTTCATTCCCATAAGCCTCGGTGTTGGTATTTTACTAAGTTGTAGAACTGTCCATTATGTGCTGTCCATTTCAGTTGAAGAACAAGCCCTCCCAGTTGCCCATGTTTGAGCCCGATTCTGCTGAGCCCATCTTTGGTAAGGACGAGGGTGAAATGGAGGTGGACAGGCGAAAGCGAGAGCAGAGTTGCATGAAGCACCAGGTGGAGGCAGCTGCCAGCCTCAAGAGGAATGCCATCCTGAACCAGCTGGTGGACCAGAGGCGGGATCTGCAGATGCTTCAGAGGACGCAGAGAGAGTAAGGAGAGCCTGGTCTGACTTCTCCCTCTTCCCCTCCCCTTCTTCCTCTCCCCCAACTCTTTCTCTCTTGGTAACAATAGCAGAGAAGAAATGTGGCTAACATACTGAGGAGTTATGCAAGCCATTCTTCTAAATTTGTTACATATTTCACTCAGTTTTATACTTATAATTCTTCCAATGAAGAGAAAGTTATTAAATAAAAAAGTACCCTCTCTTGATCTCCACTTCTCCTTCAAGTCCCAACTCCACATTTCCCCTTATAACACAGTATAACTTCTTCTTTTCCTCCTCCTCCCCCCCCTCCTCCTCTTCTTTCTTCTTCTCCTGTTTTTTGAGACAGAGTTTCTCTGTGTAGCCCTGGCTGTCCTGGAACTTGCTTTGTAGATCAGGCTGGCCTTGAACGTGTAGATCTGTCTGCCTCTGCCTCCCGAGTGCTGGGATATAAGGTGTACACCACCACTCCTGGCAACAGTATAACTTTTTAAAAGAATCATAACATCAGCACTGCCCATTGGTTGTAGTAAATGAGCTAGAAATATGCTGCCACACTCATGTAGATCAAGACCTGACGCCAGGTCCTTCCTCAGTTCTCAGGACCTTCTGCTTCCATCATGGAGGATGGGGAAGGGAGTTCTGTCTCAGTGCCTGGATCTCTAAGTTCAAACACCAGACACGTGATTTCTCAGAATGTCCAGTTGGTCACCTAACTGCTGGGGAAAATTTAAAGGTCCCGTTGGTGCTCAGTCTCACAGCATCTTCATGGTTCCTTCCTAGCCTTCCATCATCCATTTCCTACTTCCCACCCCAACCCAGATTGTCAGAGGAAACTAGTTTGTTTTTTTTTTTTGTAAATGTTTACCAACTTATATCTTTGATGAGCCAAAATTATCATCCATTCCAAGGCTTCTGGCCAAGGAATCCACTCTTTTTAGAAGGTAGTTGTACTTACAAAAAGTCCTGTTATTAAATTTTTATAAATATTAGGATGGTCCCAGTGGGATAGTGTATGGGTCTGTTCTATTCTGTGCTGGCTTGGCTGGACATGAGCTGAGTGACAGACTGAAGGTGACACAGTGCTAGTGGGGTTGACTGTTGGTAGAGAGGGCATAGGAGGAGTTAAATCATGAAGTTTATTCTGTTAGAATCATGATCTATCTGCATTACACGTTTCCCTGTTTTAGTCTAATCTGTACAAGGATCAGAGCTTTGCCTTGATATATATCAAGTTTCTAAAATCGTGACATATTTCCATACTCAGTGATAGGTTTTGTTGTCCGAAGCCTGACAAGCACACCCTTTCTACCTAGGCTGCCAGGATGCCCCCTTTCATTTTTTAAATTATTTATTTTTATTTATGTGCATTGGTGTCTTGCCTACATTTATGTCTGTGTGAGGGTATTGGATCCTCTGGAACTGGAGTTAGACAGTTGTGAGCTGCCACGTGGGTTCTGGGAATTGAACCCAGGTCCTCTGGGAGAGCAGCACCTAATCACTGGGCCATCATCTCTCTAGCCCCAGGAGCCACCTTTTCAGCCCCTCATGACCCCTTCTTTGAACCCGGACTTCAGCTTTTCCCTCGGACCTCCAGACCACTTCTCAAAGGCATTCTGATTAGCTGGCATGTTTTTGTCACTGTATTATTGGTGATATAGAGCAGGCTACATACTTTCGAGGGCGCTGGGTTTGTTTTTGTACTAGGGCTAATACAAGTATTTGCCTTCTGATGGTCCAGAGTTAAGTGACTCCTGCAAATAACTTAGCCTAGTGTTTGCCTCAGAGCCACTCAGCAGAGCTACAGCCATTACAAAGAGAGGAGACTGTGTGTGTGTGTGTGTGTGTGTGTGTGTGTGTGTGTGTGTGTGTGTGTGTTGATCTTTTGCAGAATTATAAATTCGTATATAATTCTCCATTATATGAGCTTAAGTAGATAATACTTTTTGTTATTGTTATTATTATTTTTTTTGAGGCAGAGTTTCCCTGTGTAGTTCGGGCTGTCCTGGAATTCACACTGTAGACCAGGCTAGCCTCGAACTCACAGAGATCCACCTGCCTCTGCCTCTTAAGTGCTGGGATTAATCTTTTAAATTAAGTGTCTGCAGTGAGTAATCTTTTAAATATTTATTATTTGTGTGTGTATGCATGTATGTAAGTATGTATATATGTGTTTTTGTGTGTGTATGCGTGCATGCCATAGTGTTCATGTGAGAGTCAGAGGGTAATTTATAAGAGTGAGTTCTCTCCTACTACTATGTGGAAATGAGTCCTCTCCAGCCAGAGATCAAGCACAGGGCATCAGGCTTGGCAGCAAGAGCCTTTGTCTGCTGACCCACTGCACTGGATAGGTTTATGTCAACTTGACACAAACTAAAGTCATCTGAGAGGAGGAGCCTCAATTAAGAAAAAGCCTACGTAAGGTTGGGCTGTAGGCAAGCCTGTAGGGCATTTTTTAAATTAGTGATTGATGGGGGAGGTCCAGCCCATTGGAGATGGTGCCATCCCTGGGCTGGTGGTCCTGGGTTCTATTAAAAAGTAAGCTGAGTAAGCCATGATGAGCAAGGCAGTAAGCAGCATCCTTCTATGGCCTTTGCATCAGCTCCTGTCTCCAGGTTCCTATGCTGTTTGGGTTCTTGTCCTGGTTTCCTTCATTGATGAACAGTGATGTGGAAGTGTATTCCAAATAAACCTTTTCCTTCCCCAAGTTGCTTTTTGGTCTTTGTGTTTCATCACAGCAAAGAAACCTTAACTAAGACATCCATCTTGCTGGCCCTTCAACAGGTGCTTTGTTTGGAGGTCTTCCTTGGGCTGACTCCTCGTCGGTCTATTAGCATATAAAAACAAGTGATCCTAAATGTTCTACTTAGAAGAGACAATGCTAAAATCTTTATTAAATTGCACAAAGAATTGGCTGCAGAAAGGCTACAGTAGCTCTGCATCTGTGCACGGTGGTGAAGCGGTGATGAGGTTACCGAGTCATAGCCAGCAAAGCACTGCATGTGAAGACATTGCTCAGTTCTGTGGGAGTGGTGACTGCAAAGGCCTGTGCTACAAGGCTTTCCCATGACTCTAACTCTGCATCTTGGGCCATGACGGTGTGAGTGCATGACATTGACTCTAGTGTTATTTTTCACCCAAGCTTGTTATTTCATTTTCTACAGATTCTGTGGTTTAGAAACCACCAGGTTTGCTGCTTGCAGAGTCAAAGGTTATAACGCACTCATCCTGAAGGGCTTTGTGGGCATGTTGGTGGCGGGAGGAGAGAGCGTGGCAGCATAAGAGGATTGTTAAAACATAGTCAAGCCTGAGAGAAGGCATAGTTTTCCTAATGATTTTTTCTTTATGCTTTTAAAAAATAACTGTTGAGATGTAACTGGACTGTGTGTAAACATATGTATATATATATATATACATATATATATATATATATGTTTAGATATGCAATGGAACTATACAGTAAGTGTATATTTTCACCTGGCTTGTCTCAGGAGAAATGACGTTGAGAGTCATCCCATTGTTGGATGAAACAGTAGTTCTGTGTCTCTCCCTCTCCATCAACACACAAGGGGATAAAAAGAAAAAGCTCAGGAGAAAAATAGATACCTGTCAAAGAGTTCTATTCTGTGATGTGTGTGGCATGTTGGGTATATTTTATCATCTAATCTTCATGATAGCCACACAATGGCAATTAGGTTTAATGGTGGTTTTAGGAAAAAGTGACCCCGGTGAAGACAGTACTGATTTTTGTGAGGGCCCTGACACTCAGTGGCAGATGTCACTTTCACATAAAGTCTGCCAGAGTAGCATGAGCCAGTCGTCACATTTAATGAAGCTCCTGGAAAACTTTAATAAGAACTGATGGCAAAGATTTCATTTTGGCAAAAGCGGATTCACATAAATAATGTGAACCAGACTTATGGTGATTTATGACAGGAGTGATGATTTGTATGGAGACCAGTGATGGTGATTTGTAACAGGAGTGATGGCTAGTATGGAGACCAGTGATGGCAACACAGCCAAGCATTCTCTTCCTGGGTGACTTGCCCTTCTTCACGCATTCCTGTTAGCACTGGGTAGTTGTTTCCTTCCTCTCGCTTACAAGTCATTTCTCCTTTCTCCACTTCCATTTGTATGGCTCTCCATTGTCTCCTAAAATGCCTGCGGCACCCAAGTGTGATAGTGCACTTCTGTACTCCCAGCACGCTGGAGGCTGAGGCAGGGGGATCTAGAGTTCAAGGCCACCCTGAACCATGCAGAGACCTTCTCTGAAAAGGTGGAAAAAAACCCCCAAGAACCAAATGCTTTTAGCAACGTGTAGACTGATTGCTGACGGCTGAGTGGCTGGGAAGAAACACACAGTATAGGGAATCCATTTAGGATGATCCTTCAGATGAGCCAAATTAGCTCCGAAGGACATTAATGGCTGTGGAAGCTGATGTTGTTAATTGGAATAGGACTTAAGTCCTGCTAATTTAAGCCAGGATTCAAGATGAAAGATCTTAGAACCATCCATTATCTGACAGCTAGCAGTTTCACCATGCTTCTACAGCATCCATGTCTTCTGCACAGTTCAAAGACTCCTGAACAGAACCAGAATGCCTTCTGTCTCATTTAA